TCTCTTCGCCATAGTCCACTCCTCTGCCTACCGGCCACTCGCTCTCAGCTCCACCTTCGGACGAGTCCGTAGAGCCGAGTGGCCCGTATCCAGAGCTTGTGGGCTGCCTCATGTACCTGATGGCCTGCACTCGACCTGACCTTGCCTACCCTCTAGCATCCTGGCACGCTACGTTGCGCCCGGGAGACACCGACCAGAGCACTGGGAGGCCGCTAAGAGGGTGTTGCGCTACTTGTGCAGTACATCGGACATGGGGCTCGTGCTTGGAGGACAGGGTCCAGTTGTCCTCACTGGACACGCAGACGCTTCTTGGGTTGACGACTTGGCTACGCAGCGGTCGACACAGGGTTACACCTTCAGCCTTGGCTCCGGCTCCGTTTCTTGGCGGTCTACCCGCTCGTCTTCTATTCTCAGTTCCAGTTGTGAGGCTGAGATCTACGCAGGGGCCATGGCTGCACAGGAGTTATGCTGGCTCACCTACCTGCTGACCGACTTGGGAGAGCGGCCTCGTTCTCCTCCAGTTCTGTACGTAGACAACAAGGCCATGATGCCTTGTGTCAGGAGCACAGACTGAAGCACAGGACGAAGCACATCACTCTGCGTTACTTCCTTGCTCGAGAGCTGCAGCAACGTGGTCAGCTTCGTCTTGCTTATGTGGCCACTCGGGCCAACACTGCTGATATATTCACCAAGGCACTTCAGTCTGGTGATCTCTATATATATACCTGCATGCTTACACTTGCTAGGTTGTGATCACTGTACTGCTTGTTCTCATTTATATAACTCTGCATGTGAACTGGCCATGTGGCCATTTGCTTGTGCTCAGAGTGTGTGGTGACTTCGTGATCCACCCTGAGCTTGCTTTGCTTTTCTTGACTGGTCTTGTGACCCCTTGTTCTCCCCCACTTTGCCTATGGGGGTGTGTCAAACTGTTATAATGCTTATATAGCGTAGGCTATAGTGGGGTAGCCCATAAGGGGTACAACCCAATTAGGGTTAGTACTTGTACCCACCTTGATCATAGTTCATCCATCCTCGCTTAGTCTTCTGACATCAGGAGCTGCCGGTTACGTACCTGAACAAGCACCAGTATAGCAGGCTCCAGGTGACCTTCGAGCGGGCTCGTGATGCTAATTTCATACCTGGAAGTTCTCTTCAAGGGCGTTGATGTCGCGATCACGCCTGAGATGCTGCGCGAGATGCTGATGGTGGTGAAATTGGTGGTGCGGGGGAGGCCTCCCTTCAAGGACGGTTGCTGTTTTCATCGGGTGGTGAATCATGCTACGGGGTTGGACACTGATAAGGTGAAGGGTTTGGTGAAGCCGCATGAGGGGGACAAGTACCGATGGAGGCATCTGGTGGATGATCCTGGGAATCATGGCAAGCAGCTGCGGGTACACTACCCATCCCTGACCTGCACCTTCTGGTCGGGGTACCATATGGCGCGGTACCATGACGACTACGTGATTGTAAGCAAGAACAACATCGGCAAATGGAGCCTGTCGTTGGGACGGGTATATGGGATTAATGGTAATGGTTGGAGTCACAGCTTATCGTACCTTCGTTTGCTGTCTCTGCAGTGGTGCGTTGCTAACGATGTGGATGTGCCGGATACGCGCAGCCACCTCAGTTAGGATCACAGATCTGACCAGGCTTACCTTGAAGGACCCGGCGGTGGTATTGATCTCGACCGAGGCGAATCGGGAGTTGTGGATTTGTGTCCACAAAGGATGCGAGAAGGCGAACAGGGTCACCTTTGCCCAAGAAGCAGAGGATGTGGTTTCCCAGAGGCACAGCGATGGCCTGGTGTCAGGCTCTGCGACGCGCGCATCCAAGGCGGGTGTGATGCTCCCAGCGGCTAGGAAGGAGTTCGGGGTGTGAAGAGTTTTACAGTACCTGCAGAGGGGGGGGTTGTAATCAAGGCAACGGCAACACGCTGCACAGGAGAGACGGTGCATGGGAGAGCAATTAGGAGTTGGTGTAGTGCTTCACGTTGTATCACTGGCCGTAAAGTGGTGTCATATGCTGTTGTATCACCGCCCTGTGGATGCGAGGGGGCTTCAGAAGGAGTTAAATAATTAGTAACACCAATCGCCTAACCATAGTGTCCTTGAACGTCAACGACCTGGGGAGTTTAGGGAAGCAACAGACGGTGAAAAGGTGGATCAGAATCACTGCACACATAGTAGTACTTGCCGATACAAGAGTAGCGGAAGACCACAACTTCTGGACGGAGCTCAGGCCAAGCTGCATGGCCGCAGTATCAGCACCAACTAGAGCAGGTGGACTGGCTATTCTGTGCTTCCAAGACGGGGTGCAGTTTGAGGACGTTCATCAGCACCACTCCGGTAGATTGCTCCACGTGAGAGTACGGTGGGGAACGAGGCATATGCGATTGCTTGCAGTATATTTCCCCGCGCAAGCGCCGCTACGAGGGAGTTTCTTGGGCTCGGAGTTCAAGGATGTAGCGGCTAACCTGCCAAGGGGAGAGGATTTGGTAGTGGCGGGAGATTTCAACATGATAGAAGACCCCGTTCTTGACAAGTCAAACCATTAGGGGGTGACTGGGGACAACGGCAGGATAAAGTGGATGCTGGCGGATCTTGGGGCCACAAGAGCCGCGGCTGCAGAGGGACTCCCTCTTCCCACTTGTGCTGCCATCACCAGTAGTGCCTAGCAGCGACCACGTCGAGCCCTTCCCTGAAGGTCTCTTTGGCCGCACGTATGAGGCGCACTGCAGGTGGGTGCCATGCCATGCCTTGCCATGCCATGCCATGCCATGCCTTGCCACTATGGAAATCCGCCGTTCCCGCAGCGACCATGTGGAGCCCTTTCCTTAGGGGCTCTCTGGGGGGACCTATGAGGCGCATGCAGGTGGGTGGGTGGGTGAATGGGCCGGAGTCCGGACCATGAGAGTGACCTTTTCTTAAAGGCCTCAAAGGCCGGGGTATGGCGTTTCAGTGTATGTGGGTTGTGAGTTGACTCGAGAGCACGTTTGAGGCGCAGCTCAGGTGAAAATCCCAATCTTACCTGAATTCAATCACCCGAAATATCACTCATGGTTGGAAGGGCAGCAGTGGTATAGAGAAGCCTTAGGAACGAGAGTAATGATGTACCCGAGTATAATGGGAACTCTTATCGCAAGAAGCGTTTTCACTCGAATAGGAAAGGTCGCAAACATGTTTCGGCAAGGCGGGGAGGACCCGTCAACAGCTAGGAGCTCATCATTGTTTCTGCACTATTGAGATCTACAGCTAGGCATGAGCTAAGTGTCAACCCACACCGTGAACAAAAGTCAAGATTCCCAACTACCCAAACTGATTCCCTGACAATGGGCATTCGCCAACACAGCACAGGGTAAAAACCCGAGGTTACAAATGTCAGGGATACAAGGCTATTGATAAGCCTTGGTACCTTTGCTCACATGAGTAACTTTTGCAGGTTACGTGCACACCTCTATGCAATGATCATATTTCCCTTATAAAAACCGCGTGGACTGAGACGATTTTTGAGGCGCCTAAAAGATCGGCGCAGTGCACGTGGTGGTACACTGAAAATCCCAATCTCATTCAAATTCAATCACCCGAAACCTGTTGAGTGCAATACACGGTTTGCACGTCAACATACCGTCTATTCGCCAGCGGTGAAGGAAAATGGAGGTCTTCGTTTGAATGTAATTCGTGGTGAATGAAATGCGCATTTTTGTGTTTTACGTTTGTGCGTTTACAGCTCGTGAATCGCCTTAACGATTCATTAGTTATGTGTGTTTGTGTGAGAGGTTGCATTCTTGAGCAATTGTGAATGTTAGTGAGTGAATGTGAGGAATTCCGAGATTTCGTGTGCGTTTGCACTGCTTCACGAGTTGTCGCGCATGTGTGTGTATTTTTGTGTCCATGAGATTTCGTGGATTTTCGTGGATTGTTCGTGAGTGTTCATGTACGTTGTGCATTCATGTAAGTTTGTGCTCTCAGAGATTTTCGTGTGTGCCCTCGCGCAGGACAGCGCTTTGGGCGCTGTACAACACGATCGAAAAAAAGTTTCCCGTGCCATGATTGCACCCCTCGGGGGTGCTCGTGGGTTCGAGGGGTTGCCGAGGGATCCCGAAGGGTGCTCGAAATTTGCTCGAGATTTCAGTTTACAAACTGAATCTCGAGCCTCGTCTTTTATGACGTGGCACAGAGATTTTTCACCAAAAAGTCGCGCGGAATTTGTCTTCAATTTGCGCTTACTCCAAACGTCTCTGTCGACCGCTTCATTACAGTTAGAAAACGGTAAAAATTGTTTTACAAATGTAAAGCATTGGGGAAACTATTCCCACACGAGGCGTCATGAATACCAACGAGAAGTTATGAGTGCTCGTGTGTGTGAGGAGTCAGCAGAAACGTTTGGAGTAAGCGCAAACTGAACACAAAATTTTCTAAGGAGGCGAATCAATCAGATTCAGTAGAAGTTTGACAACCGTTTTCGATGGCAAATCTGACAAAATTCCCGAATGCAGTTAAGCAACTATTTAGTGTTTGTCTTTGCTCGTGCTTAGTCTTTTCCTAAATATGTGCTTGCTTTTTGTTGTAATCAAAAATTTCGAGTAAATATTTCTCTATCGACGTATTGCCGCGAAGAAAATTATATGCACACAAGCCAATCTGTCGTCATAACGTTGTGCCAAGAAGTGTAGGAATACTCCAATGCCATTGATTGAATATATACTCAGTTGTTTCTTTACAAACATGGACCCTTGATTAGGGGCTGGTTTTACCAAGCACCCGAGGACCCTTGGAGGTGACCCCGTGGAGATTACCTTGTGTGAATTAGTCGTTGTGCATCAAGTTTCTAAATCCCAAAGTAGTCGACAAAATCTCCAACCCGCTAGTAGGAGATCTCAGAATATTTAATTTGGCACTCTATGTTGAATCAATTTTACTCTCCTTGTCTCCCTTCACTCTCCATCCGCATTCAGTTTCGAGGGCGCATACCCCAAGTGGGACCTGGTCTATGCACCCATGCTGCTGGGCCTGCTAGTGCTGCTGGTGGCGCTGCTGCTGTCGGCGGTGATTGCAGTGATGGCGTGGAAGCGAAGGCACATGGCGGAGGGCGTGAGGGAGATGGAGGTTTGCACTGCAGCGCTGGAGAAGGCAGAGCGCTGCAAGAGTGAGACCGTGGCAAACCTCTCACACGAGTTGCGCACGCCAATCATCGGCATGATAGGTGCGTGGGTGTTTGCCGTTTTACAGTACCATTGTCCACTTCGTTGTGCACCTCAAAGGGTTGTGCATGTGCAGCAATGCTTTCAATTTTTACCAGGCTACCATGCAGTGGCAGCTCTCTCCCTCTCTCTGTCCCTCTCTCTTAATTCCTCTTCCCTGCGCAGGGATGATAGAGATGCTAACCTCTCTGTCTCTTTCTGAATTCTGGATTAACAGGCATGATAGAGATGCTGCTGGAGTCGCCATTGGAGGAGTGGCAAGCAGCGGACCTAAGGGATGCGGGGGAGTGTGCGCGGGAGACGGTGGACCTCATCAACCGCGTGCTCGACCTCGCCAAGCTGCAGGCCGGCCGCCTCCAGCTCGAGGCTCTGCCGCTCTGCCTGCCCCGCGTGGCTCGGCATGCCGTTGCCCTCGCTGCTCAAGACGCTGTCCCCAGGGGGCTGGAAGGTAGGGGTTTGCTTATTTTCGTTAGAGGGGTTGAATGCAAAGGTATGAATAATGCGGTTATGCACAAAGAGTGGTTTGAAGGTATGCGAAGGAGTTGTTCCAAATTCGTTATGTTTCTATCATGCAGCGTATTCTCGATCTATGTCATGCGTGCGATGCATGCAGTGTCATGCCACGTGGACCCAAGCGTGCCGGACGTGCTGGTGGGCGATCCGACGCGATTAGTTCAAGTCGTGGGCGAGATTACATGTGAGTGGAAGTGACGAGTGAGAGGAGGTGACGAGTGAGAGGAGGTGACGAGTGAGAGGAGGTGACGAGTGAGAGGAGGTGACGAGTGAGAGGAGGTGACGATTTTAAATACATCATTCCAACTCAAGTTCTTACAAGTAGAAACGAAGGTATTTGACAGGTTTTACTGGTCAGTTGGTCACTTATACATCTCTTTTCTGCGCCCTTTTGCCTCTCCCCATCCGCCCGTTGTGCAGCGCATGCAGCGGGCAACACTCTATCAGGCCATGTCACCTTCCATGTGTGGTGTGCCGCAGCTCCTCTCCAGCAAGGCCCTCAAATAATCGCTTCTCGGCCATCCACCCCTCATCCCCCCACCCCTCGTTCGCAAGGCTCCAACAAACCGCTTTCATCGCTCCTTGCTTCTCCCACCCCGTGGCAATCTTCCCCTGCCCTCATTTCATCTCAAACCCCTCAACCTTCTTGCACCCTTCTCACCCCACCAGCCTCACCAGCCCCTCACACACCTCGCACCCCTCTATCCCCCAAGACCCTCCCATTATCCCCAGCCCCTTCAAGCCTGCTCGCCCCAGCAGCCTGGCAGCAGCTGGCAGCGTGTGTGCAGCGCTTTCCCCCAGACACCCGCCTGGTGTGCACCCCTCAGCACCTAACGGCACCCCTGGGAAGTGGCTTCTCGAAAGCGGAGAGTCAGGATGGGATGCCGCTGGCAGGTCTGCGAGCGGCGGGAGGGGCAGGATGGCTGGGATGGCTGGGAGGGCTGGGAGGGTGGGGAGGGTGGGGAGGGTTGGGAGGGTGGGGAGGGTGGGGAGGGTGGGGAGGGTGGGGAGGGTGGGGAGGGTGGGGAGGGCTGGGAGGGTGGGGAGGGCTGGGAGGGTGGGGAGAGGGGAGAGGTGCGGGGGCAACGTGTGCTGATGAGCGGCAAAACGTAGGCGTGGAGAGTGATAGAGATAGGCAGGGAGGGCGGCTAGAGAGGGAGGTGGCGGCGTGGGTGGAAGGGGCGTGCAGGGCGAGAGGGGAGGGCGAGTGGATGGTGGTGATGGCGTGTGAGGATACGGGCGGTGGTATACCACCCGAGGAGATGCGGTGGGTGCTGGATCCGTATGGGGGCGACCTTCACCACTCCACCTGCTCCTCTGCTGCTGCTGCTGGTGCTGATGGTGGCGCTGGTGGTGTTGTTGCTGATGATGGTGATGGGCATGGTGACAGCAAGAAGCAACGAAGAGTCGTGGTGAGTGAAGCCGTACCTGATTGTATATGTGCATACGTTCGTGCATGAAGGTGTGTGTGCATGTGTGCGTTGTATTCGTGCGTGTGTGCGTGCATGTGTGCGTGCATGTGTGCGTGCGTGTGTGCGTGCGCGCATGCATGATTATCTATTAATCCATTGCATGAAAATCGGTAATCGCGAGCAATCCTCTTAGGATGCTGACGAGAAAAATCAACCACTGGATCGTCAAAGTATGCATGAGTGCGTGTATTGAATCTCCCTTCCCTTCCTGCGTGCTGCTTTTGGGTTTCTCTGTGCTCTACCGTCTTCAACGCCCCACTTGCCCCTTTTGACATTCTTCCAGTGAGCAGCGGTGTTTAGGAGCTAGGTTTAATGTAAGCAAGTAGGAAAAAACAGTGTGACAAGAAAACTAACAAAAAACCGATAGTCAGTGAAACTGGAGCTCTTCTCGTTAACAGAAACTAAAACAAAAGGCAAACATGTTTCGGCCGAAGGGCATACCCTGTTGGGTTTCTCTATACTCTACCCTCGTCAACGGCCCACTTGTCCCTTTTTCTTGAAGTCCCTCGTCAAAATTGTTGCTTTTTGGTTTCTCTATGCTCTACCATCTTCACCGCCCACTTGTCCCCTTCTCGTGCGCCTGCCTTCCACCTCTTTCCACTTCACTCTTCTCCTTTAAAAAAAAAACCATCCATCACCTCGTTCCGCACCATCCTTTCCATTCTTCACCTCTTTGCCCCTATCCTTCTTTATTCGCACCCTCCTCATGCTTTAAATCTCGAATGGTCCTCCATTGCGCAAACAGGCAGGTTTAACTCTCTCTCTCTCTCTCTCCCTTCTCGCATGCTTGTTCTGCACATGTCCATCCCACTGTGCGCACCCCACTCACAGAAGCCAAGGAGGGGCAGCAGAGCGACCCCTCTCACGCACGACGAGAGGGCTGCTGCTCGCCCTGCCTGGACGCCCTACCCTGTCCGCTTCCTCCTCTCGACCTCCCTCGTGAGTGCTTCCTCCTCTCCACCTCCTTGGTAAGTGTTAAAGTGAGTGCTTCCTCCTCTCTTCCACCACTCCTCTCCACCTCCTTGGTAAGTGTTAAAGTGAGTGCTTCCTCCTCTCTTCCACCACTCCTCTCCACCTCCCTCGTGAGTGCTTCCTCCTCTCCACCTCCCCCGTGAGTGCTGCAATCCTCAACTGCATTGTCGCCTTGGAGTATTGTGGCGTCCAAATTGACAGGTCTGGTTGCCTGTTGATGACACGTCATTCAGTTTGCTAAGGCTGGAGTGAGTGCTACCATCTTGTGAAGGACGACGGACGGACAGGTCTGGGACGTATGAGAGGCAGTTGGGAATTGGGTGGTTTGGGATCTGCACGAGAGCACGGATGTGTACAGATCCATGTGAAGGCTACCTCAGATAAGGTGTCTATTTGCCATAAAGAAACGCTGTTGAGCAGTGGGATCTGAAGGTGGAAAAGCATTGAAGGCCGAGGTTTAAAAAAAGCTTGCCATACCTGAAGGGGCCCTTTTGAGGGCATACACCACATGCCTCCACTCACAGCTCTCTCCACTCCTCGCTGCCGCTCTCCTCTCCTCCCCGCCCTTCTCCTTCTCCCCCAGGTGGCGGAGATGCGGGGAAGCATGGCAGTGCTGTCAGACAGCGCCACAGGCACCGCCATCCTGCGTTTTACTCCCCTATTCTCACCGACCCCTCCAAACCATCTCTCGTCCCACTCCCACCCCCTCCACCCCACTCCCCTCCCCCAGGTGGCGGAGATGCGGGGGAGCATGGCAGTGCTGTCAGACAGCGCCACAGGCACCACCATCCTGCTGGCTCTGCCCCTCTCCACACCGCCCCCCCCAACCGAACCTGGCAGCAGCAGCAGCAGGCGAGGGGAGGGGCAATGCAGAGGTCTGCAGCAGTGGATGGGGGTTTCTAGAGGGCTTTCCCGGAGCTCCTCTTTACACTCTCTGCCGTTAAGCCCAGTAGCCCCTTTAAGTCCACTCAACCGTTTAAGCCCACTCAACCCTTTAAGCCCACTCAACCCTTTAAGCCCACTCAACCCTTTAAGCCCACTCAACCCTTTAAGCCCACTCAACCCTTTAAGCCCACTCAACCCTTTAAGCCCAGTTGCCCCTTTGAGCCCAGTAGCCCCGTTAAGCCCAATAGCCCGGTTAAGCCCTGCAAGCCTGCGACTACAGGGCATGCCACCGCTGACTCTCCCTTTAGTAACAGGCAGCATGGGGAGCAGCTTGGGGGGGAACAGCACGGGGGTTGTAGGGGGGGGTGTGGGCGGCGGTGTGGGGGGCGGAGCGGGCGGCGCAGAGGCGGCGGTGCGGGCGGCGGTGGCGGGGCGGCGGGTTGCAGTGGTGGATGACAACGCGGTGAACCGCATGGTGGCGCGGCGAACACTGCAGGGCTACGGGGCAGACGTGCTGCTGCTTTCTTCAGGAGAGGACACCCTGCAGGCTCTCTCCTCGCCTCCCTCTCCTTCCACGCCCCTCCAACTGCTGCTGCTGGACCTCCACATGCCTCCTGGCATCGATGGGTGAGTGCTTCCCTGCCTATAGACGTGTCTCCTCGGCCCCCTCGCCTATAGTTCGCTCAGACCTCCCCATGCGTTTGAAAGTTCCAAACTTGAGTTCTGTAACATCTCTGTCCTCTCCGTTCCTCCCGGGTAATTGTTTCCCTGCCTTTCCCCCACTTTGCCCTGTCTACCTCCATTGCTGTCAGCCCCCATGGCTGTCAGCCCCCATGGCTGTCAGCCCCCATGGCTGTCAGCCCCCATGGCTGTCAGCCCCCATGGCTGTCAGCCCCCATGGCTGTCAGCCCCCATGGCTGTCAGCCCCCATGGCTGTCAGCCCCCATTGCTGTCAGCCCCCATTGCTGTCAGCCCCCATGGCTGTCAGCCCCCATGGCTGTCAGCCCCCATGGCTGTCAGCCCCCATTGCTGTCAGCCCCCATGGCTGTCAGCCCCCATTGCTGTCAGCCCCCATGGCTGTCAGCCCCCATTGCTGTCAGCCCCCATGGCTGTCAGCCCCCATGGCTGTCAGCCCCCATGGCTGTCAGCCCCCATGGCTGTCAGCCCCCATGGCTGTCAGCCCCCATGGCTGTCAGCCCCCATTGCTGTCAGCCCCCATTGCTGTCAGCCCCCATTGCTTTGATTTGATGGTACCAACGCTATCCCCGTGTGCCAATCACCTGCTCCCGTGACACAGATTTGAAACGGCCCGGCGAATTCGGCTCATGGAGAGCGAACAGCAGCTTCCGAGCGAGGCAAAAGGAACAGCAGCAGCCGACGAAGCAGACGCAGCAAGCAAAGTAGCAAGCAAGGCAGCAGCAGCAGAAGAAGCAGGAGCCAATGACGAGGCAGCGAGCGAGTTCACTTTCCAGACGCCTCAAGAGTCAACAGCAGCCAACGAGACAGTCGACGACTTTTCTTTCCAGACTCCTCAGGAGTTGATACCAGCAGACGAGGCAGGGAAAGAAGAAGTGATGGGTTTGGAAAACGCCTGTCCTCAGCGGCTGTGCATCATAGCACTGACGGCAGATCTGGATGTTGGGGGGAAGCGAGCGTGCTTTGAGGCGGGGATGGATGGAGCCGTGCGCAAGCCGATAGTGGGGCATGAGCTGCTTGCAGCACTCGTGGATGCGGGGTTTGTTGCAGCCAGTGAGACCAGCGATTTCTGAGTGGACTCAAAAGCCCATTGTTTGCAGCACTCATGGATGCGGGGTTTGCAGCCGGTGAGACGACTTCTGAGGCGCCTCAAAAGTGAGGCGCCTCAAAAGTGGGGCGCCTCGAGAAGGTGAAGATGGATGGAGGAGCAGTGCGCAGCCCATTGTGGCACGTGAGATGCTTGCAGCACTCACAGCCGCGGGGTTAGCAGATGTTGAGATGAATCGTGCACTGGTAGTTTCCCCAAATATCTGGTGTGCCAACTGAACTCACTCATAAGAAGCATGAGTAGGGGTTTTTTTTTTTGGTACCTTGAGTGTGCTGCTGCCTGCTCTTTGGGGGTTTTCAGGGCAGCATGCGCATCCCCTGTGAACAATAAAATGAATTGCTGGATGAGGTCATACTGGGGGATATATGTAACAACCCATACCCTCTACATTACAACCCAACCTAGCATAACAATGCACACCTACAAATTGTCATAAATATATATTTATAATTTATATAACTGCTTGTAGCAGACTCCAACTCCTAAGCCTAGCTCCTAAAGTTCTTAGTTCTGAGATGGTATCTAGAGCCTAACGACCCTCGAGAGCCTGCAACTATGGCAGCCTACCCTGCTGCTGCAGGTTGTCAAACATATGTTTATATGTTATAGTTTAGGTAGGCTTTAGTGGGGTACTCACTGTGGGGTACAACCCCTTAGGTTCCACTTTTGTACCAAAACCTTCTCGATAGTCATCATCCTACTTTAACATGGTATTAAGAGCACTTAGGTCTTAGGACCTAATTTCCTAGTGGGCCCACCGTTAACTCTCTTTTTTTAGGGTTTCCCCTGCCTGTAGAGCTGCCCTACCCGTCGCGCCGCCCTGCTGGCCGCGCGTCGCGCGTTTATTTTTATTTTTCTCGTCCTAGAGCCCGGCCCCGCCCGTCGCGTCGCCTTAGGGCCTTCGCGCCGCCCACGGGAGCCAGTCGCGCTGCCCTGCTGGCAGCGCGCGACCCCGCCTGGCCCGTCGCGCACCTGTAGAGCCCGCGAGCCGCCCTTCCCTGCCCGTTGCGCCGCCCTTTTTGGCAGCACGCGGCTCGGCCCTGCCCTCGCGCACCCCTACGTCGCCGCGCTGCTGACACAGCCGCCCCTGGACCCTTGAGCAGCCGCCCCTGGACCCAGAGCAGCCGCCCCTGGCCCCTGAAGCAGCCGCCCCTGGTGCAGCCGCCCCTGGACCCTTGAGCAGCCGCCTCTGGACTCAGAGCAGCCGCCCCTGGCCCCTGAAGCAGCCGCCCCTGGTGCAGCCGCCCCTGGACCCTCGAGCAACCGCCCCTGGACCCAGAGCAGCCGCCCCTGGCCCCTGAAGCAGCCGCCCCTGGTGCAGCCGCCCCTGGACCCTCGAGCAGCCGCCCCTGGACCCAGAGCAGCTGCCCCTGGCCCCTGAAGCAGCCGCCCCTGGTGCAGCCGCCCCTGGACTCCGTGCAGCCGCCCCTGGACCCCGCGACGCCGCCCCTGGACCCGCGACGCCGCCCCTGGACCCGCGACGCCGCCCCTGGACCCCGTGCAGCCGCCCCTGGATCCCGAGACGCGCCTGCACTCGGTGCTGCCGCCCCTACCTCACCTCGCGCCTGCCTTCGTGCGCCTACCCTGTCGCCGCCCGCCGAGCGCTGGCCCACCACTGGTGAGCACCTGCCTTGTTCGCGCGCTGCCGCGCCATCTGACTGTCTGCCTGCCTGCCTGCCTGCCTGCCTGACTGCCTGCCCGCCTGCCTGCCTGCCGCGCCTGCCTTGCCCGCGCTGCTACTGCTGCTACTGCTACTACTTCTGTTACTGCTGCTAGGCTGCTGCTGCTGCTACCGCTACTGCTACTACTACTGCTACTGGCGGTGGCCAGATGCAGCTCCAGCGACGTTCACGCGAGTCTCTCACGCCCCAGCAGCTTAGTGAGTGGTACGCTAGTTGGGGTTGTGGCGGTTGCCGTCGTAGCTGTCGCCCTGGAGCTGGTCAGTTGGGAGCGTCTGGCAGTGGCCAGCTGCAGCTGCAGCGGCGTCCACGCGAGACACTTACGTCCCAGCAGCTTCACGAGTGGTACGCTCAGAGTAGAGGGTCTTTGAGTACCGTTCGCTGCCCGTACGTCATTCGCACAGGTGATCGGGTCGGTCAGCCTTGCGGGACGCTTGGTCACACACAGTCCCGCTGCTTCGCCCGTCTGAGCGACGCCTGGCATACCGAGTTTGGCGACGAGGCTGAGCTCCCCTCCTGGCTGGAGCTGCTTGGACAGAGGGTAGATATCTTTGCTCTTGACTATGATGCTATTCTCACTGCCATGTATGCATTGCCTACTAGTGCTGACCGTGCCTGTTCCCTGTGCGTACCGCCTGACCCAGGTATAGAGCCTGCTGCTCTAGGTGCTGGTGAGGCTGCTGCTCTATGTGCGAGTGCGTCTCCTGCTCTTGGTACTGGTGAGGCTGCTGCTCCAGGTGCTAGTGAGTCTGCTCTCTCTGGTACTGCGCCTGCTGAGGCCCTACACACCTTCACACTTGACTCAGGTGCTTCCCGCTCCTTCTTCCGCGACAGCACCACACTCACGCCGCTCCGTCGGCCGGTTGCAGTCTCCCTGGCAGATCCCTCTGGGGGTCCAGTCCTTGCGCACTCTTCCACGGTCCTTCCGTGTCCGGCGGTCCCGTCTGGCTCCCTGTCAGGTCTTCATCTCCCCTCGTTCTCTACGAACTTGGTGAGTGGAGCTGACCTACAGGATGTGTGGGTTGACCAGTTCACCCCTGGAGGTCAGCGTGTGACGCACTGTACGTGTTCCCGGACTGGTCGGCACCTGGCCACGTTCACCCGAGAGCCTGGCTCGAGTCTGTACACACTCTCCACTGTGTCCCCTCAGGTAGCTGCGTCTGCGTCTGCGTTTGCGTCAGGTCAGCTAGCGGCCCCCTGCTCGTGTCGCGCTCTGTCGCACCAGACCCTCCTTTGGCACAACCGCCTTGGTCACCCCTCGGTGCAGCGCCTTCGTAGCATGCACAGCCGTTTCCTTGTCTCTGGACTTCCAGAGACTCTGCCTCCTCTACCACCCTCGCCTGCTCCTCCCTGTCTTCCCTGTGTCGAGGGGCGGCAGCGCGACGCTCCTCACTCTCCTCGTTCCCTCCCACAGAGGCTCCCCTGCAGACTCTCCACCTGGACGTGTGGGGCCCAGCCCGCGTCCGTGGACAGGCCACGAGCGGTACTTCCTGCTGGTCGTCGACGACTACACGCGTTACACCACGGTCTTCCCCTTGCGCAGCAAGGGGGAGGTCCCTGATGTTTTGATCCCCTGGATCCGCGCTACTCGTCTCCAGCTCCGCGAGCGGTTCCAGTCGGACTTTCCTGTCCTGTGTCTGCACTCTGACAGAGGTGGTGAGTTCTCCTCAGACCTCTTGGCAGCCTACTGTGCGGAGCACGGCATCCGCCAGACGTTCACGCTTCCGGCCTCTCCGCAGCAGAATGGGGTTGCTGAGCGCCGCATTGGCTTAGTCATGGAGGTCGCTCGTACCTCCATGATCCATGCGGCTGCCCCCCATTTTCTGTGGCCGTTTGCGGTCCGGTACGCTGCGCATCAGCTCAACCTCTGGCCCCTTGTCTCCTTGCCGGAGACCTCGCCCACACTGTTGTGGACGGGGAAGGTTGGCGATGCGTCGCGTTTCCGGGTCTGGGGTGCTCGTGCCTTTGTCCGCGATACCACCGCGGACAAGCTCTCCGCCCGCGCTGTTCCCTGTGTCTTCCTTGGCTTTGTCCCTGACGCGCCTGGTTGGCAGTTTTACCACCCCACCTCGCGTCGTGTCTTCCCCTCTCAGGACGTCACGTTCGACGAGTCGGTTCCCTTCTACCGCCTCTTCCCCTACCGCACTGCCCCTCTCCCCCCCCCGCCGCTCTTCCTCGCTCCAGGTGCTCCCCGGGTAGACCCCCTCCCTGCTCCCGGTCCTGCTCCTTCAGGTGTGTCTCAGGTAGACCCTCCTCCCTTGACTGAGCCGGTTGAGGTCACTGGTGACTCAGGTCCTGCTGAGGGTGGTCCTGCTCGGGTTGCTGCTTCTGGGGGTGCTGAGCCTGGGGGTGCGGAGCCTGGGGGTGCTGAGCCTGGGGGTGCTGAGCCTGGGGGTGCGGAGCCTGGAGGTGCGGAGCGTGGGGGTGCGGAGCCTGGAGGTGCGGAGCCTGGGGGTGCGGAGACTGGAGGTGCTGAGCCTGGGTGTGAGGAGTCTGGGGGTGCTGAGCCTGGGGGCGCTGAGGCGTCAGGTGAGCAGTCTCCCTGGGGCGACCGTCTCCGTAGTCGCTCCGCTGGTGCCTCGCCGCTGCACTCTCGTCGTCGACTCCCTCTCTCCCCACAGCAGCTGCTTGAGTGGTACGCTGGCCGTCAGGGTCGCGTTGCTGGAGCTAGGGGCCCTGCTGCGGGAGGCGCTGGAGCTGGTGACTCTGCCACTGGAGTTGTTTCTGCTGGAGGTTCTGGAGCTGCTGAGGGCGCTGGAGCTGGAGGTTCTGGAGCTGCTGAGGGTGCTGGCGCTGGAGGTTCTGGCGCTGAGGGTTCTGAGTCTGCTGTTGCGCGGCTTCCTTGGAGTAGCCGCCTTCGTCCGCGTGTGCCTCTCACCTCGCAGCAGCTGCACGACTGGTACGGTCGCCGTCAGGGTCGCGCTTCTGGAGCTCGGGGCTCTGCCGCTCGAGGTACGTCTGTTGCCGTCACTGGAGCTGGGAGTGGTGCTGGTCCCGGAGGTGCTCGTACTGGAGGTACTGGAGCTGCTGGGACTGGAGGTGCTGAGCCTGAGGGTGCTGCTGCTGGAGGCACTGAGGCTGGAGACCCTGGGACTGGAGGTGCCGAATCTGGGGGTGCTGCTGTTGGTGGAGCTGGTACTGGAGGAGCTGACGCTGAGGGTTCTGGAGCTGCTGGAGGTGCTGGCGCTGGTGGCGCTGGAGCTGGAGGTTCTGGAGCTGCTGAGGGTGCTGGCGCTGGCGGTTCTGTAGCTGCAGGAGGTACTGGCGCTGGTGGCACTGGAGCTGG